AAGCCAGTCTCAGCAACTTAGCAAGACTCTGTCTCTAAATAAAATATAGAAAAGGCTGGGGATGTGACTGAGTGGTTAAGTGTCCCTGGGTTCAATCCCCAGCACCAAAAATAAAACAAACAAACAAAAAACCTGTGAGATGGTGAAATATCAGAAGCTATCTCATTAAAATAAAAGGATGCCAGTGATCACTACTAGTGTTAGCATCAGAATGGAGATCTCAGGCAGTGAAACTCAATAAGAAAAAGGAATGATTTATATTTCAAAGGGAAATGCAAGACTATCAGTCGTCCATTAGTAGACAATATAGTTACAGTTTAAGAAACACTACAAAATCATCTTTTAAAAACACCTGCTAGGGCTGGGGCTCAGTGGCAGAGAGCTTGCCTAGCATATGTGAGGCACTGGGTTCGATCCTTAGCACCCTATAAAAATAAACAAATAAAGGCATTCTGCCCACCTACAACTACCAAAAACAAAGGAAAAACTCCTGCTGGAAGCTGGGTACAGTGGCGCATGCCTTAACCTCGGCAACTCTGGAGACTGAGGCAGAGGGTGGCAAGTTCAAGACTGTCTCAAAATGAAAAATAAAAAGGTCTGGGGGTATAGCTCAATGGTAAAGCTCCTCTGGGTTCATTCCTCAGTATTAAAACAAAAAATAAAAAATGTTTTATGGGCTGGGGTTGTGACTCAGTGGTAGAGCACTTGCCTAGCATGTGTGAGGCACTGGGTTCAATTCTCAGCACCACATACAAATAATTAAATAAAATAAAAAATTTCATCAACAACTAATAAAACTATTTTGAAAACTTTAAATTTCTATCTGACAAAGGACTGCAGAGACAAGTTTAAAAATTCAAATAGTGCTTGAGAACAGCAAAAACAGTAATAAGTTGTACCTAAATACTTATGGTTCTTTGAATTTTTCTGTAAATTTTATATATATGTATATATACTCTTCAGAGTGCAATGATATGTGTAAGGATTAAAACAGCTTTCCGGCTCTGATTGACAATTGACCTTCTGTTCTCATGTCCTCTGAAAACCTGATAAAGGTAGAAGGTCCATTCTGCTGCTAGGTAACCTCACCCACACCAATCACTTGATTCATGAATTATATGTAGATTGACACAACTGTAAAGGCCTGTTGGGGAAAGATAGTTTGGGGCTTCTCTGTGCATAACTCAGCCCTCCAGGCTTCCTGGAAACTGTTTGTGGAGAGGTTATATGATGTATTGGCTCCTAATGGGTAGGTGACTTCTCAGTCAGAGCAGTGGCCACACTCTGGTGTGAGTCTTGTTCCTTTGCACCTGTGTGGTTACTAGGCCGTGGTGGGGCGGTGGGGAGCAGTTGTGTGGGTTGCTACCTAGATTAGCACAGTGATTCCCAGGGAGGTAAATGCCTAATTATGCCCTACTCCAAGCTGTCATTCCTGACCTCTCCTTCCAGATGAATCTGATGATGCCAAATGTGGCCCACAGTACTCTTAGGAGTCTAGAGATTTAGTTATATTTGGTGGCTATTGCACATGGTTCTACAGATAGTTAATACTTGAGCTATATAGAAAAGGACTTGTTGAATTCAATCATGGTAGATGATCGATTTGAGATTTAGTTAACTACACATAGGAAAAGACTTACATCTAGCATGAGGTCGTAATATATGGATCCCTGTTCCCCACTTCTCATACCTGAGGCAAATTACAGGCACAGGGTCAAAAGGGTGTGTACACCTTGGTGCCATGAGCCCAGGAAACCCAAATCTGTAAGACATCATATATAACGAAGAAAGAGTCAACCTCAATCTTTTTGACTCTCATGTTTTAAGCAGGTAATGAAGGATCTGAGTGTTAGGGGTGGAAGGGTTCCTCATCCTTAAAGATACTTTTTAAATCTGTTGAGCCCGACCTTTAGTGAGTGCCCATCCTTCCCTTTATGAACACATCTAAAGAGGATCACACACATTGGGGTTGGGGTGGTGGCCCAGTGGTAGAACGCTTGCCTAGCATGTGTGAGGCCCTGGGTACAATTCTCAGCACCGCAATCATAATAAATTAATAAAATAAATAAAAAAAGGTCCACCAAAAACTAAAAAATATTAAATAAAAAAAAGAGGACCACACACCAGTCCCAAATGTTCCTGTGGTTTAGTATATCTGTAATCTGATCTCGCCAGCTGTGTTACTCAGCTTTTCCTCACTGTGACCAAAAATACCTGACAAGAACAACTTAGTGAAAGACAGATTTATGTGGCTCATGGGTTGAGAGGTTTGAGTCCATAATCAGCTGTCTCCATTTCTTGGGGCCTGAGGTGAGCAGAACATCATGGTGGAAAAAAGGTGAAGGAAACAGAGAAAAGCATCTGGAAGTACAGAAAGAAAGCGGGGGAGGGGGTAAGAAGAAGATATACAGATACCACCTCCGCCTCCCAGTGCTCCAATCAGCTATCAGAGGATCAATCCACCAATGGGGTCAGAGCCCTCATGATCCAATTATTGCCTAAGAGCCCCACCTTTGTACACATGAGATCCTGGGGACATTCCAAATCAAAACCATAACACCAGCCTTTATGTGAGATATCTTTAAGTAGGAGAAAATATTTATCTGGGTCAAAACTGTAGAATGAAGATCTGGCCTTTTTGTGTGTGGTATTGATGTGTGTGTGTGTGTGTGTGTGTGTGTGTTCCTGTACATACTTCTTCCTCAGAGACAGAATGTTTAAGGAATTGGAAAACCTGGTTCCGGTGCTTTAAACTGTCAACTATATTGATAAATCTGTTGGCTTGATTTTTATTAGTGTCATTTGAGTGTTCTATCCATTTTCTCTTATTATATTAAACTTAGCTTTTTAAGAAAGTAATATGCACTGTTTGAAGTGAGTGAAACAGTCGAAAGATCTATAAAGAAAAATGGACACTCCTCCAGCCCCAATGCCACAATTTTCAGGCAGCCACTGACCAAGTTTGTGCCTTTCCATTTCATTCTCTGTGCTCACACAAACGCATAAAGACATATGCATCAGGTAGGATTGTTTTATGTTCATGCTATAATTGTTACTCTATGATTTTTAACACATCATAGATATATGCAAGTTCTTACATATAGATCTCATTATTTTTAGTAATAGCATTATAGTCTAAAAGTATTAACCCTGTCCCTATGAGTTGGACATTAAGGCTATTTCCTCCCTCCACACCTTTTTTTCTTTTTGGCTACCACCAATGGTACAGTAAACATACTGTACCTATAAACCAATACTGGTACACTGTTGTACCAGTATTGTTGTTATTTTTGTGCTGGCGATTGAACCCAGGGCCTCCCACATGAGCGCCTTTTTAAACTTTTGAGATAGGGTCTTGCTAAGTTGCCCAGGCTGCACTTGTGATCCTTCCTGCCTTAGTCTTCCAAGAAGCCAGAATTACAGGCGTGCACCACCACACCCAGCTTGGGGCATTCGTTTTTGTAAGGCAAAGGTATAGAAATCTTTGGATCAAAGAGTATGTGGTGTGCACTATTAATTTCAAGGGCTAGAGATATAGCTCAGAGGCAAAGCATGGGCAAGGCCCTGGGTTTGATCTCTAGGAGTGCGCACATGCTTAAGTTTGTTAATGTCAATAGTTTCCTTCCCTTAAGCTTGCAGCAATTTATGCTTCAAGTCCTTCGTCTCATCCTTGCCTGACCTGGTTGCAAATGTTTTTCTCTGTGCTCCCCTCCAAGCTACTCTTCACTGTGCAGAAGAGTGATATTTTTCTTTTTTTTCTACACTACAGATTGAGCCCAGGAATGCTCTACCACTGAACTACATTCCCAGTCCTTTTTATTTTATTTTCATACAGGATCTAGCTGTGTTGCCCAGGCGGACTTCCGACTCACAATCCTCCTGCCTCAGCCTTCCTGAATTGCTGCGATTACAAGTGTGTGCCACCATGTTCAATTTAAAATGATTTTTTTGAAATACAAATCTATGTCACCTCCCTGTTTAAAATACTTCGATTTCTTCTTGTCATTCTTAGTATAAAGAGCAAAATATTTGACACAACCAAAAAAAAAAAAATAGCTTGTGACTTAAAAGCCTACCTGGTTCTCTGAGGGGCTTTTCTCCTAATAGGAAGAGAGTCCTCAATTCTACGGAGAAATCGCCACAACAGGGTAGGTTGTTTGCCAGTATAAGGGAGCTACACTTTATAAAATGTGACTGACTTATGCCTGAAAGGAATAATTATTTCTCTATTATTTGCCTTGATGGAAATGTTTTTCCAGTTGCTTGGGGCAGATCATCTTAGAGTAAACAGGGAAGCACAGGACTTGTCAAAAAAACATGTTAGGGCTACACCTTGGCTCCCAAGGAATCGACAAAAGGTCTGATCATAAACGTAGGGGGTTTTTGCTTCTCTTGTTTTTAAGTTGGACTTTTAAAGTAGAAGATGCTTTAATGTGCTGGTTTGCAGAACAGGAAATCTGATTTTCAGCGTGATAACACATTCTTTGACATTAACCAGTACAGTTGGATTTTTAATGACACTTTTATCTTCAAAGCCCTTTACCAACACGAATGGATTAATTATTCATTTTTTGGTCGTGTGTTAAAAAGACAAGTCTTCAAAGCCATCCTTTTTTTTTAAATGTGGAACTGGGGCTCCCCACTTTTCAAACGTTGTTTCTCTGTCCTCAAGGGAGAAAATAAATTGTTGTTGTGGTGGTGGTGGTGGTGGTTGTAAGAAGAATACAATGGAAAAATACTCTGTGCTAAGGAAAGACGATGTCCTTACATCCTGCGTGGGATTAGAACAGGTCGGGAAACTGTACTGAAATTGTGTTTACAGTAAGCACTGTGAGAAATAACAGGCTAAAAGTGTCTGTTACTGTTCAGTCTTTTGATGTTAAAAAGTAGCCTGGAGACCAAAGCACCCTGAGTCAAACAGACGCTGGAACATAATATGCGGGCCCTTATATTCTTTTCTAAAGAATGTATTTTTTCGTGTTCCTTTCAAAAAGTGTCTAACTGGGTTTTTAAAAGATTTGGTTTGGGAGAAGAAAACGAGCTTCCCCGGGGGTCCTCCTTGTTTTGACACATCTTCTAACCACAAGAGAGCAGTCTTCCCTTTGATGAGCGCTTCCCTCCACCTCCCCAGAAATGAAAGAGCAAGTGTAAGTTTGCAAACACTCTAAAAGCTCTTTCCATTAGACCTGGACGCCGGAAACCACGGGGCAGTCAAGTCTTGATTTTCAAGGAGAAAGCCTCGGGTAAACTTTCGCTCCCCGCCAGGAGACCGGTAGGTTCCTAGGAAGAGTTCTCAAACCTTCAAGATTCCTAGGCTGCTTGCAAAAAAAAAAAAAAAAAAACCCTCATCTCTTGAAGCCCCAGAACGGTGTATTACAGGAATTGAAAAGCGTTGGTGGCTCTGGATGATTACTGTTTGGTGTGCGCCCACATATCCAGGCTAGGGGAACGAGCAGAGGAGCCCCCCTTTCTTATCTTTTGAAATAAGATCAGAGGCGAAGACGGGAATTCAAGAGTGGATTGGCGCGGGGGAGGAGGGTCCTGTATCTGTCTACCACTTCTGGCCTGGATTTTTATAGCGATCGAGGAGTGCAGTGAATTTCGGAAGCCATGCAAAGTTTCCTTGAAGCCTGTTCTGGAACCTAGTTTCCAGACCCCAAAAGAACTTTTCCAAAGACAGACCAGCGGTGCCAGGCTGTTTGGATGGACCACAATCTGGATGAGACCAGGTTTTAAGCCTCATTTTCGGTTGAGAGATTAATTTCTTGAGTGATCTATTTGCTTTTCGGCAAATTGATGGAGAAACGGAAGTCAGCCGGACTGCTGGGCCTTCAGTATGCGCTGCGCACCGCGCCCCTGGGCGTGCCAGGGACCCTGCCTCTGCTCCCGCCGAGGGACCCCTTCAGGGTTTCAGTGCGTCTGGACGCCGCGTGCTGGGAGCGGGCGCAGCGGGGCTGCGCGCGGGGACGGCCGCGCCCCCCCACACCGCTGCGCGGCGCCCTGGAGCCCGCCTTCCTCCGCCAGCGCAACGAGCGCGAGCGGCTGCGGGTGCGCTGCGTGAACGAGGGCTACGCGCGCCTCCGAGACCACCTGCCGCGGGAGCTGGCCGCCCGGCGCCTCAGCAAAGTGGAGACGCTGCGCGCCGCCGTCAGCTACATCAAGCACCTCCAGGAGCTGCTGGAGCGCCACGCGCGCGGACACGAGGGCCCGGCCGGCCCCCAGCGCAGGGCCGAATGCAACAGCGACGGCGAGTCCAAGGCCTCGTCGGCGCCCTCGCCCTGCAGCGAGCCGGAGGGTGCGGGCTAGCGCCCCGACCTCCCGGCCTGGCCCGGCCCCGCGCCCCCCGCCGCCGCCGGGGCAGCCTGGACTCCTCTCCAAACGCGCTTCGCATTTTTAATCTGGTTTCTTCTCCGGGCCTAAATCTTAGGAAAAATAAGTGATTTGCTTATGGGGAAAAGGGGGCCTGCCATTTGGGGGCTTTTTCCCCCGCGTCCTTTTTGCTTACGTGCCGGCGACTTAGAGGTGCTTTTAGGGAATTTTTTTCCCCTTATTTTTAAACGCAAATGCAAACTGTTCCAGGTTCTGAGCGCCTCGTTCTAAATAGGATTATTCTGACGACTCAGGGCGGTAAGAAGTGGAATTTCCCACAGTTCGTGATATGGGTTAAGTTAAACATTAACCCAAGAACGTTACCCTCACCCTACCCCCCCACCCACCCACTCCCCCGCGCGCGACCGTCCTTTAGGTGAGAGGACCATTCTCCTTGCACTCCTTACTTTGGAAATTGCTTCAGAAATCTAATTGGCATGGCGCTTTGGGGGAAGGCGACTCTGAGCCGAAGTCCTAGGGCACGCTGCAGGACTTCAGCACACACCAATGAATCTGTAAATGATGGTCCAGCCAGGACATTCTGTTTGGTGCACACTGTTTTTAATCAATAAGTGGCTACTTGAAAACTTCGTAGCATTTAACCAACAGTACGTCTTGGTGTTAACGAGCTCTTTGGAAGAGAACCCAGATTTGTATGACTTCTTTTCCCACTCAGACGCTTTTGTGTTCACCTTTGTAGTTCTCACTCCACCTAAGAATCTGATTAAAGTGACACTGGGACTTTAAAATAAAATGAAAATATACTTGGTGCTTTTTGGGGGGGCAGGGGGGGACTGGGGATTGAACTCGGGGCAGTCAGCCACTAAGCCACTTCCCCAGCCCTATTTTGTGTTTTATTTAGAGACAGGGTCCCACCCAGTTGCTTAGTGCCTCGCTTTTGCTGAGGCTGGCTTTGACCTCGTTATCCTCCTGCCTCAGTCTTGGGAGCTGCTGGGATTACAGGCTTGTGCCACTGCACCAGGCATACTTTACAGTTTTTGATAGTAGAACTGGATTTGGGGAAGGAATGTGAGACAAGGGATGGATTGAGCTTGGCACATCATCAAACGTTTTATCCTTGAGGGCTTTCAGGCATATTGAAATTACCCAGTGATTTTGGTTGTTACCAGTTACTTTAAAAATATTCAATCTAGGGGCTTGGGGATGTAGAGTGCTTGCCTAGCATGCCCTAGGGTTCAGCTGTTACTACCCCTTGGGTTCAGTTGTTACTACCAAAAACCAAAAATTAATCCTGGGTATTTTTCTGAGAAGCATGAATTCAGCAGATAAATTAGATGAATATTAACATATGAAGATAAAGTCAGTCTCTCTCTCTCTCTCTCTCTCTCTCTCTCTCTCTCTCTCTCTCTCTGTAGCAGGGATTGAATCCAGGGGCATATTACCACTGAGCCACATCCCAACCCTTTTTATTTTGAGACAGGGTCTTGCTAAGTTGCTTAGGGCCTCGCTAAGTTGCAGAGGCTGGCCTCAAACTTGTGATCCTCCTGCCTCAGCCTCCCTTGAATTTGTGATCTTCCTGCCTCAGCCTCCCTTGAATTTGGGATCATCCTGCCTCAGCCTCCTGAGTCATTGAGATTACAGGCATGCATTTATAAAGGTGCCCAGTTTATAAAGTTCTCTTTAGTGTCTTCCAATGTGCTGAGCTTCTCTTTCCCTGGAGGAGGCTTTGGTAAGGGGCATTTAGTAGGAGAAGGAATGAGCACTTCCCGGGTGTTGTTTCACTTCATCTCCACATGGGCTTCATGAGGCAGGTTTTATAGATGTTAGGGAAGCTGTTTTTCACTGACGAGCTTTTACATGCCAGGACTTTAGTTGTGTGCTTTTCACATTTTGTCCCATCCTCAAAACTCTGTAAGACAGGGAATGCTCCTATTTTTGCTTTAAAAAAATGAAACTCAAAGAGGGTGATAGACCCAATCCTGAGTCTGTCTGATCCCCAAACCCAGGATTTCTTCTGCACTGTGCTCTCTTGCTGTGATTTGCTAGCTGGGTGGCCCAGCGCCCTCTGCTACTCTTTCCTCATCTCTTCTCTTTGCAGGAGGGGGAGGGGGAGGGGGAGAGCCTTGATAATCTGTAAGGTGCTCATCAACCATTAGCTTTTGTCATATTTGGAGAAAGTCCTGTACTATTTCTCAGTTGCACAGAGAATAAAGTTGCATGAAGAATAACTTCTGGGTGGGGCCAGTGTGATCTCTTCAGTGTTTAAAAGGAGAGAGTGACCAGGTTATTAGGATTTCGCCTTCTTTGTGAAGGTTCCAGAGAAATAAATGATTTGCCCCTGGAATGCTAACTCCATGTTAAAATATATAATTGCTGATATAATAACGGCTTGTTGTGGACCACAGAGAAATGCTGTGTAATGAATGATTCATAACTAAATTTTTTTCTTAAGAACGGTGCCTTCTTGGTGGATTTAGCAAGATGCAATGGCTAACTTGTCTCACAGATTACTCAGTCACATACACACACACACACACACACACACACTCTCACACAAATCCCTCCTCTATTTTGGTCTCTGGGCTGGTTGTTATTCCAAAGGGGGACTTCCATGGAGCCAGCCTAAGGGAGGTGAATTTGCTAATTAGGAAAAAATTAGGAAAACACCCAGGTTACCTGCCTGGCTGAGTCAGAGGACAGTCAGCCAAATCACTGGGAGACTTAAGGTGGTTGTGTTTGAAATCCTATTGAAAATAAGGCAACGATTTGGAAAAACCAGCTTGGTGGGGGGTCCCATCTTAACCATAGAATCTTTTTAGAGGAAAAAAAAAAAACAGGCAGTTTTTCTGGAACCTTCCTGGTAGCTCACTGGAGGAATGCCATTGTAGAATTGAAAGCTTTTAAAACATAAGCCTCAGCAACTCTGTGAGGCCCTAAGCAACTTAGCAAGACCCTGTTTTGAAATACAAAATAACAATCAGGGGGCTGGGGTTGTAGCTCAGTGGTAGAGTGCTTGCCTCGCACGTGCAAGGCACTGGGTTTGCTCCTCAGCACCACATAAAAATAAATAAAATAAAGGTATGGTGTCCAACTACAACTAAAAAATATTTTTTTTTAAAAATCGGTAGGGATGTGGCTCAGGGGTTAGTTAAGTGCCCCTGGGCTCCATTGCTGGTACCAAAAAAAAAAAAAAATTTGAACTTCACTCTTCCTGTGCCAATCACTACATTAAACCAGAGAACAACTATGCTTTCCAAAAGAACAAGATAGGGCTGGGGATGTGGCTCAAGCGGTAGCGTGCTCGCCTGGCATGTGTGTGGCCCAGGTTCGATCCTCAGCACCACATACAAACAAAGATGTTGTGTCCGCCGAAAACTAAAAAAAATAAATATTAAAATTCTCTCTCTCTCTCTCTCTCAAAAAAAAAAAAGAACAAGATAATAAATTCCCAACACATTCTGTGGAAGCCACGGAGCAGAGGGGCGTGTTGTGGAAATGACACTCCAATCCTGAGCAAAAAGAAGAAGGAGGGGCTGTGGCAGGGTGTGCCCTGGCCCTGGGGCTGGGTCTCACTGACTTAGTGACTTGGGCAAGTCCCTGACTACTGTGGTCTCAGCTCCCTGCGCTAGGACACCTGAAGATTGGACTGCAGTATCTTTTAGCCTAATCTAGCTCCAAAACACCAGCATCCGGTGTGTGCAAAGTCCCCTACTAAGGCACACTGCTTCCTGCCCAGGGCACAGTGGCTTTCAGTTCCTCTATTTCTCTTTTCCCCACTAGAATGGGACAACCTGGAGCTGAAGCCTACTCCTTTTATTATTTATTTATTTATTAGTCCTGGTTGCTGTTATCATTCCTATTTTTTTAAAAAAGCTTTATAATTTTTTGTGGGATTGGAACTTGACGAATTTTGCGTACTGGTGGGAAAGCAGGGCCATTTCCCCTTAAATTGAAGAAAACAGGTACGAGAGGTATAAGTGATGTCTTAACTGAAAAGTGCTATTGATAGTTAGTAGACAAGAGTGGTGGTATTTCAGAGCTGGGTCCTTCCTGGCAACTGAGATGATGCAAAGACCCTTCCTTCAAACCCCGATTCTTGGGACCAAATCAGAAAGATTTCAGACATAGCACTCAGAGGAACAGGAATGGGTGTATTGAAAGGATGGGAAAAGGGAAAAGGGACACTCACTAGGGAGAAAGTGGGGCCTCTCAGAGAGGAGAGAGTGGACAATGTGCCTCTCCTGCACTCCAGTTTTATTAGGGATCCCAGAGAAGTTTCCAGAGAGTTCCACCCAGAGCCACCCACCCCTCTCCCTCTCCCTCTCCCTCTCCCTCTCCCTCTCTCTCGTAGTTGTAGATGGACATCATGCCTTTATTATTTGTTTATTTTTGTGCAGTGCTAAGGATCGAACTCAGTGCCTCACGTGTGCGAGGCAAGTGCCCTGCCACTGAGCTATGTTCCCAGCCCCCAGGTTCATCTCTTGACTTTTGACTGACAGCAGGGTGACATCAGACTTTCAAGACCTCAAGGCCAGACAACTCAAGGTCACCTTGGTCTATGTTGACTTCTAATTGGCTTATTAATCATCCATTCTTATAGATTCTATAAGAATTAGGATGAACTATCCTTATCTCCCAGACTTTCAGGATCTGGTCTGTGAAAAGGGTAACAAAAGTCTCCCCTTTAAGGGTAACTTGAGCTCCTCTGACCGACATGACTTGGGACCTGCATTTCTCCTGCAGTGAACAGGTAGTTTGCTGAGGAATATGACATATCCTGTCCACTGAGGCCAGGCAGGGCTGCAGGTAAATTGCTTCTTGGGAAAGAAAGCCTTTGGGGGTCAGCACCGTGGGCCCGTTTTATAGAATTCTCTTGTTCCCACCATTTGCACCTGTCTGTTCCCTAAAAGTGGGAACATGAGGTTAAGAGGGTAATTCTATAAATGGGACCTGCTGTACTGACCCCACATGCTTTCTTTTAAAAAGCAATTTACTGCTGGGCCCGGTGTCGCATGCTTGTGATGCCAGTGGCTCAGGAGGCTGAGGCAGAAGGATCGAGAGTTCAAAGCCAGCCTCAGCAAAAAGTGGGGCACTAAGCACCCCAGTGAGACCCTGTCTCTAAATAAAATACAAAACAGTGCTGGGGATGTGGCTCAGTGGTTGAGTGCCTGAGTTCAATCCCCGGTAATCCCCACACCAACCAAAAGCAATTAAGTCACACCCCTGCCTGGATTGAATCAATGTGACATGCTACATTCCTCAGAAACAACCTGATTTCTGCAGGAGAAATGCAGGCCCAAAATAAGACTCCTCCCTGCTGATAAGAAGAACAGTTTTCCCCAAAGCAGAGACTCTTGTGATCTTTAGGCAGATCAGATTCCAGGACTTGGGGAGACAGGATAGGTAGAAGCAAAGCCTCCTTAACATGAAGTCTGTAAGAACAAGTTCCAGGTAGAACCGCCAGTGTGGGCCAAAGTGGCCCAGAGTCATCATAATAGTAAAATCTCCCCTCTGTGGGGTAAGGCCACACACAGTGGGGACTTGAAAGTCTGATGCAGTCCTACTGTCAGTCAAAAGTCAAGAGGTGGACCTGGGGAGGACTCTGGAAATTTTCCTGGGACACCCAATAAAACAGGAGGGCAGGAGGGACACATCACTCTCCTCTGAGAGGACCCACTGTGTCCCTTTCTACCTTGAGAGTGTTCCCTCTTGCCCTCTTCCTATCTAGTCTAATAAAGCCCTGCATTTAATATGTGCAAAGCATCTGAAATCTCTTCAATGTGGTTACAAGAACCGGTAGCTG